AAAAAGATGAGATCTATGAGAGAGATGATCGTCTACGAAGCACGAGGAGTGTAAATAATACTAAGGCTGATTGTGGGCGTGGCTGACAGAACTCTAAAAACCTTCGACTATATATCAAAGGGTTTACTGCCCTTGGATGATTCTCTCTCATAGTGAAGAAGAGACGTTGGAAGAACAAATACTGGACTGCGTGCGAGAGGAGTGGGATGAAGCAGAAGTAACTCTAGCGGCACACGAAAAGATAGAAGGGAGAGGAAGGACTCTGAGGATGCGGCGCGAGGATTCGGTGTAGTCTCCAAAAGGAAAGTCCTGCCGTTTCTCTCATACGTTATTATCATTACTTACGCGAATAAGCTTGGTTGCTCTCTCTTCTTCCTTATCTCTCTCGTAATCTTCTCCATAAGCTTCTATTTATCGACTGTAAGATGCTTGCGTCTCAATACTCTCGTGACGTTCTCCATGGAAGAACTGTGAGAAATAGCGGGAAATATTTTTTTTATACGTACAACGCTGCATTATGCAGATAAGCATTGACTAAAATCAGTATTATTAACTTAATGTAACAAGTATTATACTATTATTATTTGTGAGTTATTAAATGATAATTGCGGTTAATGAAACATAGACTTGTTTTGTTCGTCAGTCGTGAGATACCTGTGCATCTCAATATATTCTGTTGTCCGATCGATCGATTAAGAAGGAGGACGAATGGTGGAGAAGGAAAACGAGGAAAGAGGAATACGGTAAAGCAGAGGAGGAGCAAGGAGGTGTGGATACCTATGGTATCCACTCTCTCCTCCGTTCTTTCCAAACTCAACAGACGTTGGAAGCTACCTCGATGGCTGCCCGCCTGCCTACTTGCTGGTCTGAGATGTTCGCCTGGTAAGCTGGCTGGTTGACTGGCTGGCTGGCTGGCTGGCTGGCTGGCTGTCTGACTGGTTGCTTGCTTCAGCTCTCGATTACTTGAAAAACCGGATTCCTTCTGCGCGAAACTGTGTTTCCCGTCTTGTGTTTATGTACTAACACACGCTCGGAGAACAATATTGGTTATTTCGTTGCATGTGTACATACTACGGTAATTGCACGTCTCTCCGTTACACTTCATTTTATCTTCAATCGGCCCAGATTCTTGCGCTTAGATAAACATCGCGATCACTGACGTACTGTCTCAATAAAACGAGAAATCGAGAGTCAGGGTTTACGATTCGACGATCGGAACGGACGCGGAAGAGAGCAGCGGTACTCGATGAGTCGCGATGTCATCGGCCGTAGCCGGAGGGTCGGTGTTCGAGGGTTAAATCCAAGGGTTTCGAGGGAGTCAGTGTCAAGGGTAAACGTATACGTGCCTAAGCACAAACACGCCCTTACAAGTATATAAGCGTGCTTATGATGGAGCAGGATGAGCGTGGACTTCGTCGTTTGGTAAGAACAATGGTGACGGGATCACGGGTACATCGAGGATAGAAAGGAGAAAGCGAGCACAAAAGGCATATCTTCCGAATAATTTCACGTGGCCCTCTGTTCACCGGTAGTTGCTCGACCGAAAGAAACGCACGGTCCTTTATCTAAAAAACGAAAAGAACCGCAACGGCGAATCGAAATCCCGCGACGCGCAAGCCTCGGGGAAAAATATTTTCGAAGATCAAACGAAACTGGCTGCACTGTTCTGAAATAGTTTCTATTGTTATCAAATTTATGCAAATTTAATTTTCGCTCGATAATATTAATATACCTACATTGACCTTTCTCTTTATGTGTGTGTGTGTGTGTGTGTGTATATATTAGGTGTTGGAATTAATTCGTAGCGTTTTTAATGAAAGAATGTTATTTATTTCAATTTTTTGTTATTTAAATAAAAAAATAAATTAAATCAAATTTTTTGAAATTTGATGAAATACATCTTTGAATTACATACAGGGATATATAATGTTGTAGTTTATTACATACTAAGAGAAAAAAAATCGATTTTATGATGCTTAATAAATTCCATTTGTTGTTCATACGTGTGTGGTTTAGCCTTCATTCATTCGACCGTCATGGCGACGGCGAGTCGTAGGACGAAGGAAGAGACGTGACAAGACCGACGAGAGATACCGGGCACTCATTTAGCCTGGCAATTTATTCTCGCGTTTTGTAATTAACACCAGGAAAGAAGTAGCAGAAGTTATTCTTCTCCTACGGGCACGGGACGGCGTGGCACGGGTGGAAGCGACTACTCCGGTCAGTCTGCCTCCTCCCCCTCCGTCATTTCGCTTCGACTCGCTCCACCTTCGACTCTTCCTCACGTGAAGAAAACGTACATATCACTATTAAGCGTCAGGGCGATTGAGGCCCGGAACCTCCTGGACCAACTTGAGAATAAGAAACACACACACACACACACATACACACACATACATACACACATACACACACACACACATACACGTATACATACAGAAGAAGAAGAAGAAGAAGAAAATGGAGAAGAATGGCGAAAGGAAGAGACGCAAATGAGAGAGGAGAAGAACGGAAAAGAGACGGAGAAGAATGGAGAAAAGGAAATAGGGGTAAGAAGTAAGAGATGAGACGACGGCGGGACGAGAGCGAAGGAGAACGGAGGAGGATGATGGAGGCCTCTCTTCTGCATGCCACCGCAGTCAGCCTCAGACAGAAAGCGGTCTGTATAATTATGGGTTGTCACCTCATCAGCTTCGGGAGGGGAAGGGCCAGGGGAGGTAGCGGGGAGCGTTCATCGTCTGCGCGGAGGCAGGGGGCGGGAGGTTATAGGAGTGCAGTCTTTAGCTCAAATTGTGTTTTATCGTCTTTCGCATTTGGCTTTAGGGTCCCAGCGACCGGAGGGTGATTGAGCCGCCCGGAATGGCCCCCTTCTTTCGGGGCTTTGCCCGATGTCTTCTCGAAAGATGTCCGTTCTTACCAGACGCGACGATTTTCAGATATAATTGTGCGTCGCATGTTCACTTTCTTGCTCGAGTATTCGCTTATACTGAATAGAGCGTTGAACTAGATGGATGTTTGACATTTAAAAAAAAGAAGAACGCGCACACATCGTTCTTATTTTTCTCTGAGGGAGACTAGCGATGTGCGTAGCGTTACGCGTCAAGGACCTCGAAACGTCTTCATTAATCGTGAAATGCCGACGTTGCATGCATTGTGGTTGGTAAATACGTATTGTCGGAGCTGTAAAATCGCGAAACGTGCGTTTTAGATACCTACAATATAACGTGTCTTCTTTCTTGCTTTTGTGTTCTCCGTTTCTCGGTCTCACCCTTCCTTTCTTTCGCGCATATACGTGCCAGTCCGTGCGAGGGCACATATACAAAAAGGGGCGCTGCGCGAGAAGGTACTGAGGCTAAGTGGCGAGTTTAGAGGGATTTCATTAAATCATATGGATTGGGGATAATGTATGTTATTGAGCGGAGCGTTCAAATCGCGCTCTATAAGTTGTAATAAGTCCAATTTTAGGGCCGGTCATGGGCCGGGTCCCGCAGTGGTTGTCGGACGATTCGGTCGTCCGTTGGCCATCGGCTGCCAATTGGCCCGCGGCCGGCACGGAATGACAGTCACTGGGACCGGCGAACCCGCCACTTACTCGTCAAACGGCCAGCCGGTCCGCCGAAATCACTGCCATTTAGATAATTTGTAATGAATAGGCACCACTCATTCCATACCCCTACTGCGTCTTCCTCTCCTCCTTCTTCTTTTCTCTCGCGCTCGATCTTGGGCAAAAGTACACGTCGGTCAGGTTGGCAATGACAACAGTATACTTTATCCAATATTTCACAGGTCGGCGTGGATGACGGGGATTCTGAGAAAGACACAATAAATCGCGATAGAGAGCCCTCTGAAACCATCGAATTTATCCTAGACCACTTAAGAAAGAATTCGAGATTTCATCCTCACCCGAGCGGAAAGGATTGACCTCGACACGTTTCAAATAGATGTGTGTTTTCGCTCATAGAATACGCCGCGGGTAGGCGTATAACGTAATTAAACGTAATTGTTAGATGCCGAAGTAAATCTACGTTATCCGAGTATATAGGATTGCATATAAACACCGATTACGTTCTAGGAGAAAACATATCGATGTTAGTTTCTGCGTGTCGGTATAACAAACAGCGAGACATGGCGCACGACGTCGTGTCGTTCTTCTCGCGAGTTTTCCCCGCAACGGGAGACACGTGCCGAAGGTACGTGGCATCGATCAAAAAACGTGACTGCGCATATATTATCGCTCCGTGCTGTCGCCTAACGCA